ATTCAAAGCAGTTGTACCGCTTGCTCAAGATGCCAAAATAATGTTTTTAGATAAGGGTGGCACCTGTGGCTCAAACGAGTAGGGCACTGGCCCCATATACCAGAGGTGGTAGGTTCAAACCCGGCCTTGGCCAAAAACAGCAAAAAAAAAAAAAAAAGGTAAATAAAATAGAAATAGAAAAACTATCTGGGCATAGTGACACATGCCTGTAGTCCCATCTACTTGGGAGGCTGAGGCAAGAGGATTGCTCAAGCCCAAGTTGGAGGCTGCTGTGAACTATGATGCCAGGGCACTCTACCCAGGGTGACAGAGACTCTGTTTCAAAAACAAGCAATAAAAAGCACCCCAAGTGTGTAGGCTGTTGGGGTGTTGATAGTTGATAGTTTTCTAGGGGTTGACTTCAACTTGATTTTAGCTGTTAGAATGAGATACTTAGCTTGAACTTGTTCTGTAGAGAAGAAACAGTTAATTCCCAAGTGGGCTCTTAAGTTGGGAGGAAAGCAGCCAGGCTTGTTTGATTACTGAGTTAACCATAAGGAATCAGTGCGCCAGGCTAAAGCTTTCTGTTCAATCTCATCACAAAGTGAGGTGGATGAAAGAATCAGAGTCTATTCTAGATAGCCTTTTGTCTAAAATTAGGGCAGGCAATACCTGTTCATCCTGCACCTGCCTAGGAAGCAAATTTCAGTTAATTGGGCTACGTCAAGAGATTGAAAATACAGAATTCATTTCACCTGAACAAATGTAGGTTTGCTCATAATCATGAATTCTGAAGAGGTGTCAGGTTGATGTAAATCTCTTTGCAGCTTTTTTGCCAGTGGTGATCCTAAGGTGCCTTCCCCCTCCCAACTATGAAACAAAGTTTATTGAGAAAGAAGGATAGGTTTACAAAGCAAGAGCAAGATGTAGGCTTACAGAGGAAGACATGTTCACCTCTGTATGTCTGATTTTTTTTTTTGCAGTTTTTGGTCGGGGCTGGGTTTGAACCTGCCACTTCCAGCATATGGGGCTGGCGCGCTACTCCTTTGAGCCACAGGCACCAACCTAAGTCTGAATTGTTTTAATAGCTTTTTAAAAATAGCATACCAAGTATCTAGGGGTGGTGAACAGTGAACCACCCCCCATTGTCACAGCAGATAGTCAAAGAGGCCAATCCTAAGGTACTTTGAAACAGATTCCCTCATTTACCCAAAGTTAGTACCAACAAATGTATTAAAATTGGGGGTTTTTGGCTTGATGCCTGTAGCTCAAGTGGCTAAGGTGCCAGCCACATACACCAGAGCTGGTGGGTTCAAATCCAGCCTGGGCCTGCCAAACAACAATGACAACTGCAACCAAAAATGGCCTGGTATTGTGGTGGGTGCCTGTTGTGCCAGCTACTTGGGCTGGGGCAAGAGAATCACTTAAGCCCAGGAGTTGGAGGTTGCCGTGAGCTGTGATTGCATGGCACTCTGCTCAGGGCGACAGCTCTAGGCTCTGTCTCAAAAAAAAAATTTTTTTTGAGGTCTTTTGAATCTCAAGCCATCCATAGATCTCATCAACAGTTATTGACAGACACTGTATTAAGGTACCAAGGATACAAAGACACAACTTTTTGTACTCAAATGGCTGACAGAGAAAATACTATTCCCACCACCACCACCAAATGACAGAATTAGAGAAAAAAAAA